AAAAAAAAAAAAAAAAAAAAGGCTGACCTCCCAAGGAAAATATTACTGTGAACAGAAAGAAAAAAAGGAGATGCTGACAAAGAATAGGACAGAGGCCTTCCTCCCTAACCTTCTGTACAGCCAAGGCCAAAGGACACCATCCTGGGCTTGAGGTCTCAGTCTGTAGACAAAGAGAAGCTCAAAGTCCATCAGTTGTCCAAGATAATTATCTTATCAGTCAGCTGTCAAATGCCTAGTGCTCTGCATACCCCTGTCATCCCCAGGAAGAGAAGCACTTCTACCAGAAGCACCTCACTTGCCATGGTTTTTCCCTTCACCCATCCCTCCTTACCTCTCAGATGTTTCCAAATGGTGTGACTTTATTTCTCTCAAGGCAAAGAGTATTTGGCCTTTTCCCCCCTCCTGCTGAATAGCTGAGGAATTTGCAACAGAATTTTAGTGGTTTTTATCATTTGCCTTCAGTTTGTGGACTCTGGTTCTGAAATTTCTTTTAACAACTATTCAGTTTCTTTTTAGCCTCTAGTGACCTAGTACCTGAGGGTACAATGCATTGGTCTCCAGTTAAACACCTCTGGTACTGTGGGATGATATAGTGAACTGTATTCTCCAGAAACTTACTTCTAACCCACTTGTTATCTGAGGTCAAGCATCTCATTCAGCAGGCTTCATCCTTGCGGCACTCTGAATCCTGCACACTGTACCACCTTTTTGTTACCCGGTTCTTGCTTTGAGAAACATGTTGGGGCCAGAAGCAGGAGCCCTTTTGTTCTGGGGAGTTCTTTGTTTGGGTTCTAAAGTGACCTTAAAGGGTTTTTTGTTTTTGCCTCCAGAAGAGCAGCAGTCTGCCATACTGCTTATCTTTTGGAGAAAGGAAAAAAGCTTTGCCTTTTCATTTTCGAGAATTACTATCCTCTCTGTCCCCGCTTCTACCACTCCTTTGGTTCTTCCCCATGTGAATATCATCTCTTCTGCATTTTTACCCAGAAGGTAATTGAGGGGAAATTTGCAGTTTTGTTGCACACAGACTTTAGATTCTTTGAGGGAGGAGAGTGCTTGCCTTCTCAAACTGGAAGCACGAGCCCAGGTTTTGGGAATCTAGGGTGTTATGGTCAACCTCCAGGGAAAACTCTTGACAGGTGAGTAAGGTATTTCAGTGGATTCAAAAGAATGAGCACCAAATACGGCATTTATAATTATCCTGAGTCTGTGAGAAACATGCTCTGACATGGTGTTCTTATCCCTGTCCCCACCCCTGTTTTCACCAGCCCACGGCTTTGTGTGTGGTCTGTGGTCTGTCAGGTTCATGATCCCTTTCAGCCTTGATTGCCAGAGAACACTTGAAATCTGATTCCACCTCTAATAACTGTTTCTAACTGCTCCCCAAGGCAGGTTTATCTGCCGATCATTAATCCAGAAATACTTTACAGTTGTCCCTTTCCATTAGATCCTGGGGATTTGCCCATATTATACACTAGATCAGATATTACACGTGTTGGGCGGATTTATGTGACATAATAAAAGTTGAAGTAAGAATCTTGGTTAGTCTGCACTTTATTTTAATAGGAAAAATGTTTAGCTGTCCTCATTTAAATTCTCTAGTCTCCCATATGTTTGCTCCCACAAATCAGGAGTACTTGTGAGCCTTAAAACATATGACAAGGACTTTTCATAGAAGCAGAATTGGCATTTAAATTGTTTTTGCTGTGACCATGTAGATGAAGTGAAATTGAGGTTTTCTTCCAAGCTGAGGGCATCATGATGAATGCCCATATGTGTAGTCATGGTAGATGACAAAACTATACAGAAAACATGATGCCTGCTCTTGAGAGGCTTACATTAGTTGAACAATTCAATTCATTAAACATTTACTGAACTCTTTTCTGTGTCCTATGGATACAAAGCATTTGGAAGAGCTTGCTGTTTGGTAGGGAAGCCATGTAAACAAATAACTACAGAACAGTGTGATAAGTACAGCAGTAGAAATATGTGTGCAGAGCAAGACTCATTTAACATATTCATGGAGCGTCTGCTACATGCCAGACAATACAAACCTATGCGGTGGCTTTATCATGGAGAGTGAAACTGACAGTCCTTGTCCTCATGGACTTACAGTCTAGTAGGGCAAACAGACATTAAACAAGTAAATTGATATGTGACGTCAAATTGTGATAAATGAGTGAAAACAAAGTGCTATGAGAGAAAGTGGCCAGGATTTAGGGACAGAAGATAAACTTCTAAACTAACAGAATCAGGGAGTAAGGGATACTTAAGCCTGAGACCTGGAAAATGAGTATGGATTCGTTTCTGGTACTCAAGTAGAGGCATCAGGAAGAACCTTGACTAGTTATAGCTGAAAGGTCAGTATGGTAAGAAAGTGGTGAACTAGGGAGAAGGTGAGACTAGGTTGGAGAAGACAGGAGCCAAGGCCAGGGAGAATCTTACTGGCCTCAGTAGAGATTTTAGACTGAATTCGAAATACTGTGGGAAACCAGTGAAGGGTTTTATATGTGTAAAAGATCACTTTAGAGTAATCTGGAGAAAGATTGGGAAACAGGCAAGAGGAGAGGTGAGGAGACTACTTAGAAGGCTCTTGCTGTGGTTTTGGGGAGAGATGGTTTGGGGTCGGCCTTCAGTGGTACTTTATAGAGGTAAAGAAACAGGCAGAATGGACATCAATTTCTGAGAAAGAGTTAACAGAATTTGGAAATGTGACTGGAAGAGTGGATGCGACTTTAAGGAAAGGATGACATCCAGTTTCCTGGCTTGAACAACTGAGTAAGTAGGTAGATGAGATGGAAAAGAATGGAGGAGGAGCATATTTGTTGGAAAAGATCAAGAGTTCAGGGCAGGTTTTACAGAGGAGGTAATCCTTAAAGTGGGTCACACAAGAAGACGTAAAAAGGTAAACCAGATCAAGATGAGTAATAGAAATAGTAAGTGCTCAAAGAGTTTAGCAGGAGAGATCAGCGGTTGCTAGAGATTAGAGATTTCTTGGAAGACATGGGACATGAACTTGCCTCTGAGGATTGGGTGATACCTGAGTTAGTGCAAGAAGAACATTCCATGTTGAAAAGCTGTATGAACAGAAATACTGAGATGCATAGTGTGAGTTAAGTCATAAGAACAGCTTAAGTAGAACTAAGGAGGTTGGATCAGGAAATGGGGGAGAAATAATAAATGCAAAGGGGCCAGATCTGTTAGGGAAGGGTGTCCAGAAGCGTGATAGCCAAGCTGCAGTTGGTAACAGGTGGAAATTCAGATGATTAATCTGGTATTTGCTGAATGAATTGAAATCTGGAAGATTGGGTTTTGATTTTGTTTTTTGGAAACTCTTGGTGGTGCCAGCATAAAAATAAGAGTTTGGATTGAACTTAGAAATCCAATGAGAATGAACAAGAAAAACAAACAGGATTCAAGTGGCTTAATGGGGATAGAGAAGAAAAATCAGTTAACTTTCAAGAACTTAAACCATGGTAAATGGGAAGATGATTTTAGGCAGAAATGAAAAAGTCAGTCTGGGCCTGATTGGGTTGAATAAGAAGTTGGGGATGAGTTCCCAGTTGGGTGGAATGTCTCATGAAGAATATTGAAGCAGATCAGGCCAAACATACCTGTGACTTCAAATACTGTTATTTTTTCTTGTTTTTTTTTTTTTTTTTTTTTGTTTTTTTTTTTTTTTTTTTTTGTTTTTTTTTTTTTTTTTTTTTGTTTTTTTTTTTTTTTTTTTTTGTTTTTTTTTTTTTTTTTTTTTGTTTTTTTTTTTTTTTTTTTTTGTTTTTTTTTTTTTTTTTTTTTTTTTTTTTTTTTAAACAAAAAACACCTTGGCCAAAAAGGAACCAGGTTCTACATAAACCTCAGCCTGAGAGAGACCACTTCTCAATAAGTATGTTAAGAAGGTAGAGAAACTGAGTGTTCCTGTACCTGACTGTATGTCTCATATTGTACTTCTTTCTTTTTTCCCCTTAATTTGATTAATCCTGCTAGATGTTTTAAGTGACATTTTCTGTACTTTAAGGACAACGCCTTTGATCACCGTTACTTTGTACGAGATGGTGCCGTTTGCTCATTTTTTCTTCATGAGTCTTGCCCCTTATTATGACACACACACACGCACGCACGCATGCACGCAACGTTCCGCCCCTTTTAAAGTCTCTTTCGAACAAGTCTGATGGGAGGAAATAGGTTCTGGGGGAAGACACTTTTTCACTTTGAAAACCTGTCGAGATAGAGATGATAGTCTGACATGTATACAGAATACTGAATTAGCCCCTGAAGCCTGATAAACACTATGATCCCAGTCAGAACCTTTGACTCTGGATCATACATTCTTCCCTCAATATCCTAATCTTCTGAGATTCTAGAACCTACTAGTCTTTATTTGCTGACCAGATGGTAACTATCCTTAAAATTTTAATCATGTTCTCACTGGCTGCCGTATTTTAGAGAAAAATGCTTGGAGGGTGGGGGCTTCCTCCAATAAAGAGCTGAAAGGTTGGCTCCTTCAATTTCTTTGTCTTAGCATTTTCTTGCTACCTCCCACAGGGATCCATATGGCTTTGGAGACAGCCGAGATACAAGACGCGATCGATCCCCCATTCGAGGAAGTCCAAGAAGAGAGCCCAGGGATGGCAGAAATGGCCGGGATGCTCGAGATAGCAGAGACATGCGAGACCCCCGAGATTTGCGGGACCACAGAGAGAGCAGAGACGTTCGGGATCACAGAGACAGCAGAAGTATGCGTGATGCTCGGGACATGAGGGATCCTAGAGACTTTCGTGACCTAAGAGACTCTAGGGATTTTCGAGATCACCGGGACCCCATGTACGACAGATACAGAGATATGAGAGACTCCCGAGATCCCATGTACAGGTACCTGTACAGCTGTTCTGCTTGGTTTTTTTGTAATAGTCTTCTTTATTTGTGTTCTGCTGAACTAATGGAAAGCTCTGTATAGCAGTGACTTTATCAGCCCTATATTTCCAATGTTTATCAAATGGTAGATGTGCTGCTTAATAAGTATGTGGTGAATGTGTGAATGATGATGAACTGTGCTTAGTGAACGAATCTCCCTGTGGCCTCTTAAAGGCAACATCATGCAAATGGAAAAAAACATGGAGTACAAATTGTTTTGGCCGTGCAAAACCGCAGGGAAGATGCACAAATGGCCAATAAATACGTGAAAAGATGCTTGACATACTTAGTTATCAGAGAAATGCAAATTAAAGCCACGATGAGATACCACTTCATACCTACTAGGATGGCTATAATAATTTATTTTTTAAAAAAGTGTTGGCGAGGTGTGGAGAAACTGGAATCCTCATACGTTGCTGGTGGGAATGTAAAGTAGTATGGCCACTGTGAAAAAGTTTGGCGGCTCCTCAAAAAGTTAAATATAGTAGAATTAATGATCCATCAGTTCCACTCCTGAATATATATCCAAAAGAATTGAAAAGAGGAACTCACACAGATGAATGTGAATGTACATAGCAACACTATTCACAGTAGCCAGAAGGTAGACACAATTCAAATGTCCATCAATAGATGGATAAAAAATGTGATATATCCATAAAACAATATTTTTCAGCCATAAAAAGAAAGGTAATTCTGACACCTGCTACAACCTTGATGGTCCTTGAAAACATTATGCTACGTGAAATAAGCCAGACAGACACAAAAGACAAATACATGTTTTCACTTATATGAAGTATTTAGAAAAGGCAAATTCATGGAGACAAAGTAACAGCAAAGGGGGTTGAGTTTCTGTTCGGGGTGATGAAAAATTATTTATGTGGAATTTTGATTTTTTTGTTTTGGTTTTTAACCACAGTTTTTCAAAAGCACAGGGAAGGAGGCTTGGGGTGGGGGCATGGAATGGTTCCTCAAAACTAATATCAATAATTACTACCAGTTATTTTGTATTTACTTTAGGCCAGGGAGCTTACTTTATGCTGAGAGCTTTCTGTACATCCTCCCAGTCATTTTGGAAGGTAGGTTAACTCAGTCCCAGCCACAGAGCTGATAAGCAGTGAGTCCCAGATACTCATTTCGTTTGTCTGATCCCAAAGTCCTATGCCTTACTGTGCTTTACTTCCTCACAGACTGGGTCTTGAAGAATTCTCTGTATTTGATTTTTGCAGGATAAGACTTTTAACTTTGCGCACATTTCTGTAACTTTTCAGGAGAGAAGGCTCTTACGACCGATACCTGCGAATGGATGACTATTGCAGGAGGAAGGATGACTCTTACTTTGACCGTTACAGAGATAGCTTTGATGGACGAGGCCCTCCAGGCCCAGAAAGTCAGTCTCGTGCAAAAGGTAAAGCAGCAGAAACAGCACTTAGCACTGGTAGGACACTTTACAAGAGAAAGAGGAAACTAATAACCAACTGGAAAGGGGCTAATGACTTGGCTAAGCAATTCACAAAAAGAAGAAATACAAATATCCTATTCACGTGTAGAGAACATTCAGCTTGAAAATCATTTTTAAAATGCGAAGTAGTACCATCATCTGGTTTAGTCAACATCTAACAAGAAGAAATAAATAGGAAATTCCAGCAATAAGAACAAAATGAGCAAAAGATGGGAGCAGAAGAGGTCGTTTGGGTTTTTTTTTTTCTCATTGACCAAGTAACTAAAACTGTTTGCATTATCTATGTAGTATGTGGGGTTTTTTGTTTTATTTATAATTTTTACCTAACAGCATCTACTTTTTAGGTAAAGACAGATGTGTTTTTTATTGATAAAAGCCTTGATTTTCTCAATATATTCCATACATCTTTAAAGATGTATTTTTCTTTCTTTCTTTCTCTCTCTCGCTCGCTCGCTCGCTCGCTCGCTCGCTCGCTGCATTGGGTCTTCGTTGCTGCTCTCGGGCTTTCTCTAGTTGCGGCGAGCAGGGGTCACTCTTCGTTGCGGTGCGCAGGCTTCTCACTTCGGTGGCTTCTCTTGATGCAGACCATGGGCTGCAGGCCCGCGGACCCCAGCAGTTGTGGCATGTGGGCTCTAGAGCACAGACTCAGTAGCTTTGGCTCATGGGCTTAGGTGCTCCACAGCATGTGGGATCCTTCTGAACCAGGGCCCCGTACCCGCATCCCCTGCATTGGCAGGCGGACTCTTAACCACTGTGCGACCAGGGAAGCCCAAGAACCTCATTTTTAATTTGTTACAAAACTTACACTTTACTGCCTGATTTTGTTTGTTTGTTTGGGGGGGGGGGTTGTGTGTGTTTGTTTATTGCCTGGTTTTTTTTAAGCAAATTACAATTGCCTGTCAATAGGGGACTTAAATAGTTGTCCCAAAAATGAAAATTAGAATAATAATGAAATACCATCTTTTACCTATCAAGTTGGCAGGAGGTTTTTTTGTTTTGTTTTTTGTTTTGTTTTGTTTTTTAATGGCAATACTCAATGTTGACTAAGATGTGGAGAAATAGCACTAGGTGCTCCACCCCTGTGAAAGGATAAATTAGTAACAGCCTTTCTAGAGGGCATTTTGGCAGCATGTATGAGATTAAAACAACCATGCCATTTAATACAATCATTCCATGTCAATGGATTTATAATAGTAAAAAACAATAATGAGGGTTATTTTTAGGAGGTAGTCTAGAGGATTAATTCAGAGAAGTGTGTGTGTGTTATGACCTTTGCCTACAAGTAGTTCAGGATTGAAAATAAGGCCTGTGACTTATTTTTATAGAAAGGCACAGTCCGTGTTTCAGTTTTCTCTGGTGTCATCCTGCAGAGCGTTTGAAACGTGAGGAACGGCGTAGAGAAGAGCTTTATCGTCAGTATTTTGAGGAAATCCAGAGACGCTTTGATGCTGAGAGGCCTGTTGATTGTTCTGTGATTGTGGTCAACAAGCAGACTAAGTAAGAACCCTTTGGATATTTTTCCTGAGTGAGGAGAAGGATCAGAAGAGAAATTCAGGTTCCTTGGCAGCTGTACCCACTTAACTTGGGCTGTTGTGTACTCTGGCATTGTTATACTGTGTTAACCAGGGTTCTTTCACTTGTAGGTGACAGAAGACCCATTGCAAACTGGCTTAGGCCCAAAGGGAAATTTTTAGTTTGCTTGACTGGGAAGTTCAGGCATGGCCACATACAGGGTCACACTGTCATAAAGACTTGTTCTCTCTGTTGCCTTCACTCTCAGACAAGCTTTCTACTCAAAAAGGCAGAACAGCACTGGCTCTAGACATGTATCTTCTTAGTTCAGCAAACCAGTGGAAAGAGAGCTGCTCTTTCCCATTGCTTCCACCTGAAGTCCTGGAATTGTTTCTCATTGGACTGCCCAGGCTTACTTTACCATCCCTGAACTATCACTCTGACCAGCAATGCTGGGATGCCCTGATTGGCCAGGGCTAGGTCATGTGCCCACCCCTAGAGCTAAGTGGAATTAGCCCTGTGGAACCATATGGACTGAGTGGGAAAGGGGTGCCTTCCCAAGGAAAGTCAAAGAGGGGAATATATGCTGGTCAGGCAAAGCAGTAAATGTCCCCTTTGTGAGACAACACCGAATCCCCAGTACTTTGGAAGGCATACGTCTCTGCATTTGTCAGCCAAGAGCCAGGCTTTCTTTGTGAAGTGCCGTGGCCTTGCAGAGCTGTTAGGTGACCACGCTAGCCAAGCCAGAGTTATAGCAGTATTTTTTTTTTTTTTTTTTGGGCGGTACTCGGGCCTCTCACTGTTGTGGCCTCTCCCGTTGCAGAGCACAGGGTCCGGACGCGCAGGCTCAGCGGCCGTGACTCATGGGCCCAGCCGCTCCACGGCGTGTGGGATCTTCCCAGACCGGGGCACGAACCCGTGTCCCCTGCATCGGCAGGCTTACTCGCAACCACTGCGCCACCAGGGAAGCCCTATAGCAGTATTTTACTCTACCTCTGTTTCACATTCTTTCCTTGAAGAAGCAGAGCAGAGGTGTAGAAGGGAGTGTATAGCAGCTTGCAAGTTTGAGAGTAGCTATGTTCCCTTTCCCCAAGTGGTTAGTAAATAACTTCATGTATTTTCTAGCAGTTTGGGGTTAAAGAGCTAATTTCAAGGCAGAGACGAGGGAAATAGGTGTTGAGACACCAAGCAGCAGGCAGCATCCAGAGGCTCTGGGCTGCCTTGTTTAGAAACAGACGCTGCTTTAACTTGCAGATGGCTTTTTTTTTTTCCCCCCCCCCCCC